TATATATATATATATATATATATATATATATATATATATATATATATATATATATATATATATATATATATATATATATATAATGTATAAACTTACATATGTGTCCAGTATATTTACTGTACACATGTATATGTATATAGTATATATAACGTGCGTATATGTGTATTATATATCAATATATTTTTTCATAAACTATGAAGTATGTGTATATATATGTACTTTAATTATATATATAACATACATACGAATATATGTATTTATGCACACATAATTTATATGTATATTATATATATGTATATATACGTATTGTGTACGTATATTCAGTCAGCACCGTTAATTTCCACTGATAAGCTGTTAGTTATCATAATTATCACTCGGAGTACAAATATGAATTTAGACGTTTTCATCGCTCACTCAGATCTTCCAGGACGACACCTACCTTAATAAAATTATAAAATCAGTTACCCCAATATTAATCAGAAAGTCTTGTTTTCTTTCAATATTATGTTCAAAGAAAGCGTATGTTTTTATGGGAAACATTTTCATTTCGCGACAATTCTCCAGTTTCATATCAAGATAAATATGAGGCAATGCAACACTAACATCTTTGTTAACAAAGGAAAAAAATAAAGGATTTGACTAAAGTTTTTTGGTTGATGTGACTTGGGATCTTTATTTTGTAGAATGGGGGGAGGGGCCCGGTTAATAGTTTTAATGTTTGTTTTCTGTATCGTAGGAAAGGTAGGAGAGACGTAGGACATGAGGGAGAACAGAGAAGGAAAAAGTCTGCAGACATAAATATACATATGTACAAATATATATATATACTTATATATATATATATATATATATATATATATATATATATATATATATATATATATATATATATATATATATATATATTCAATACACCTTTGTGTATGTATGTATATATAAAAAATATATATTTACATATATATATATATATATATATATATATATATATATATATATATATTTTTTTTATATATATACGTATATATATATATATATATATATATATATATATATATATATATATATATATATATATATATATATATATATATATATACATTACGCATTACGTACATATATATGAATATCTATACACATGAATGTATATGTGTATATGAAGGTGTAATATATACATGCACAAATGTATATATATATGTTTATATATTTGTATGTGTATATAAATATTTATGTATATATGTTTATATATTATATATGTATATATTATATATATATATATATATATATATATATATATATATATATATATATATATATATATATATATATATATATATATATATGAATACATATATATAGAACACCCACAAACCCCATACACATATATTTATTTATACATATAAACATAATACATCTATACATATATAAATATATATGCATATATATATATATATATATATATATATATATATATATATATATATATATATATATATATATATATATACATATATATATATGTGTGTGTGTATATATATATATATATATATATATATATATATATATATATATATATATATATATATATATATATATATATATATATATATATATATATATATACATATAGAGATGTTTATATTTATATATACATTTATGCATATATATAAATATTTACATATATATATATATATATATATATATATATATATATATATATATATATATATATATATATATATGCACACAGACATACACATGTTTATGTATATATACATCAAATTACACGCACATGTGTTTATATATACACATATATATTTGTACATATGAATATATATAAATATGTTTATATACATATATCTGTATGTATATATGTACAAATATACATAAATGTGTGCATATATATATGTACATATAAATATATATATATATATATATATATATATATATATATATATATATATATATATATATATATATATATATATATATATATATATATATGCACACACACAATTATAAATATATACATATACACATTTACCTGTATATGAAGATATAAATATCTACATATATGAATATATATATACATACAGACACAAACGCACATATAAACATACACGTGCGCACAAACTTATGTGTAAATATATAAATACATAAGTACACATGGACAAACATAGGTATATATTCATATATATGTATATGTATATATGTACATATATATTGACATATATAAAATATGCAGTCATGTATATACATATGTATATACGTATATACATATATGTAGATATATAAAACTATATGTATAAATTATATAAATATGTATATATATATATACATATTTATTAATGTATGACCACTGTGGTCAGGGGCGTCACTTAAGGGGGGTATGGGGGGTGGTTCACCCCCCCAACTCTTAAAAAAAAAGACTCTTTTGGCAGGGCAAAATCTAGTTCTGCAGGGCAAATTTTCTCTTACGGAATCTGCCTCAATAGCCGATAAGTATTCAAGATATAAATAACTATATGAAACTAATTGTTGATGATACTTGATTTATAACATTTTCTGCCGCAAAGTGTCTATTTTTTATTGTTTCAATTGAGTTTCAATGAAGCACGCAATCAAAAAAAATCATTGCTTCACTGAGTTTAGGCCAAGCAGTTGAGGATAACACCTTTCAAAAAATCAGGCGTCTTCTTGAAATTCACGAAGACTTCATTTCATTCTCGGTCACTTTGCAAGGCTTGCGCATCGCCTATTCCACTTCAAATCAAGTATCTTACATCGAAAAACATGAACTCAATGTATTTCATAAAAAAAAAGCTGATACCTATCTATTTTCAAAAAGAAAAGAAAAAAAAGAAAAAAAATGCAAAAGAAAAACTTTAATTCGGTATTAAATAAACATTATCATTATTTTGTTGTTTTGTTCATTTATCAGTTGTAAATACTGGTTGATGGTCCATTCCGGGCTACTTATAAAGAGCTAGTGAGCATTTTCTTTTTCGTGATTTGCATTTACATATGTGTGTGTGTGTGTGTGTGTGTGTGAATATATATGTGTAAATATACATATATATATACATATGTAAATACATCTATCTATCTATCTATCTATCTATCTATCTATCTATCTATATATATATATATATATATATATATATATATATAAATATATATATGTATATGTATATATACATATATGTATATACACATAAATATATACAAGTATATATATATATATATATATATATATATATATATATATATATATATATATATATATATATACACACACATTATTATATTAATGTATGACTTGCGATAGTCCGCTAGCTTCAACCCAGTCTCTAGGCGAAAAAAATACATATCGCTTTGGGAAGTTAAACGCAGGTGACGTAAAGTCGTCGCCATGGCACAGCTGTTAGCGCATGAAACTGCAGTTGATTAGGAAGGGCATCCAACTAGGCAAGGGGGGGTAGTGCCAAATACCTCTAAATTTTGAACTGAGGCCTATGGAATGAATGGCTGTTGAACAACAATGCGTATATATATATATATATATATATATATATATATATATATATATATATATATATATATATATATATATGTGTGTGTGTGTGTGTGTGTGTGTGTGTGTGTGTGTGTGTGTGTGTGTGTGTGTGGAGGGGGATGCATTTATGTATGTATATAAAAAGAATAAGCGATGACTAGTGCCGGAACCGATCCGTGTGTTACCAACTTTTCCCCAAAGTTGAGAGTATACTCCTTAATTGTTGTATTTCATAAAGAAGGTCCTTCATCCATGTGAGTTTTTCTTTTGTTCTACCTATGAGTTTCAGTCAGCCTACGATGCAACAATTTCAGAAATGTCTTTTGCAAAGCCAAGGATACATCTGGCAAAGTCTCCTCCATTGCATCATCTCACCTCCGTCGAAGCGAGATTTGATCGACCTTCACTGGCGCCGGATTGCTCGCCCGATGTCCCGTTGTTCCTCGCAAAAAGATCGTTTTCTTGTTGGCTTACTACCGGTTTGCAAAGTTTATTGGTTAGTGAAACTGTTCCTTAATTAATTCAGAGCTTTCTTATCACCGTTATTATCAAATGTTGGAATGATCGCCACTTTCCTCTTTTCTGGTAACTTCCTACTTTTGAAAGCAGGATATAAAAGTACTTTTTAAAGAATAAGTCAGTCCATTACTTTTGACATACCATTGATAAATAGGAATAATATACATGATGCATATGTATATATATATGTATGTATATAATATATGTATATATACATATATATATACATATATTATATATACATACATACACATGTATATGTATATGTACACACACATATAAGCGTGTATGTTTGTGTAAAGCTCTCACATGACACCCTATATTTCTAAGACTGTTATGATAGCTAATAAGTGGTTGTATATAAATATACGTGTGTGTGTGAGGGAGGGTGGGGGGGAGAGGGAGAAAAGGAGAGAGGGAGAGGGGAAGAGGGAAAGGGAGAGAGAGGGAGAGAGAGAGAGAGTACATTAGTAACAGCAAAATAAGATAACATAAAATATTTTCGTAAATCAAAGAAAATCGTAAACAGGTGAGACAGGTAGTACTCGTAA